ATAGAGTTTATATTCAATCTATATTATATAAAGTTTATATTCAATCTACATTATATAAAGTTTATTATCAACCTATATTATATAGAGTTTATAATCAACCTATATTATATAGAGTTTATAATCAACCTATATTATATAAAGTTTATAATCAACCTATATAATATAAAGTTTATTATCAACCTATATTATATAAAGTTTATATTCAACCTATATTATATAAAGTTTATATTCAACCTATATTATATAAAGTTTATATTCAATCTACATTATATAAAGTTTATATTCAACCTATATTATATAAAGTTTATTATCAACCTATATTATATAAAGTTTATATTCAACCTATATTATATAAAGTTTTTATTCAACCTATATTATATAAAGTTTATATTCAACCTATATTATATAAAGTTTATATTCAATCTACATTATATAAAGTTTATATTCAATCTACATTATATAAAGTTTATATTCAATCTACATTATATAAAGTTTATATTCAACCTATATTATATAAAGTTTATATTCAATCTACATTATATAAAGTTTATATTCAATCTACATTATATAAAGTTTATAATCAACCTACATTATATAAAGTTTATATTCAATCTACATTATATAAAGTTTATATTCAACCTATATTATATAAAGTTTATATTCAATCTATATTATATAAAGTTTATAATCAACCTATATAATATAAAGTTTATTATCAACCTATATTATATAAAGTTTATATTCAACCTATATTATATAAAGGTTATATTTAACCTTTATTTTATACATTCATATTCAACTCATATATCAAAACATCTTCATCCCTTTTTTCAAAGCAAAAGATTGAATTGAATATTTAGATAGTGATTACAACAATTTGGATTTGGTTCGCTTCCCTCTATGTCCCAATAAAATGTTGGCTCGTTTTGCATAAATTCATATATATCAGATTCCTGACATAGAGCTTCAAATTAAGAAGAAATCTTCTATTTTACCAACATTACATTATGTAAACCCGAGTCCAACCCCTACGAAAGTAATCTCTCCTAGAATTCTCACCGATGAGGGAGAAAATGAAGAAGGTTTATTTATGCAAAAACCCCAGAATTTCGCACCATCGTTCCTTGCTTTTGTCTAAATATTATCAAATTCTGTATGATCAGTTTTCAGGAAGGCAATTTTATCAACAGAAGAACTACGCTGGAAAAGATCCTTATAGTTGGAATCGTCATAGTCACCGTTATTGCTATAGGTTTACTCATTGGAATTCTAGTAAGAAAAGATGAACCTTTTCATGCACGAGCATCTGAAAACCAGGGTAAGAGCATACGATTAACACCTCTCCAGGACACCAGCTAACTGAATTGTCTGGACTGCATGCTGGAGACCAATATATGCAATGTGATTTTCATACCAAGGGTCATTTTAGTTCCATGACCTTTCCGGTATGATGATTACTAAGCAAAAAAATTATGGCCCTCAAATGTAAACTTTTACATCTTCTTACACAGTTAAGAAAATCATGAATGTCCATCATGTATTGATATATTAATATGTAAGTTATATCATTATTCGTTTTGTAGAAGAAGTATGTGTTACTGTTGACTGTGCCAGAACAGGTACGTTGTGATCATCAAGATGTCAAAACCTTAGATTGGTCTTTTTTTCACTTTATTTGGGCTCATACCGATTGGTGACTGTTATTATTCATCATAGCCCTGGCAGACCTCATGATAGAAGAGCTCATATTGATAAGATAACTACTGCTAATTGCAGTTGGTTTCAGATTTCGAACGAACCATTAGATTCAATTTTAATAGAATGTAGAACCCATGCAACTGTTGGCAATTTCTTAAAGCTGCTAATTTGACGTCGTCTACGCACTCAGGTAGACTAAATCCAGCAGTAAGTTGTTGAAAGTTCAACTGCACTCAGATTATCCCATTCGGAAGTCGAATTGAGTTTCTTCAGCTGTGTAGTACTTTGTCCTTGGTATCTTTAAATGGCCTTAACCATTGTGATATTGATGGTTTTACTTTATAGCTGCTATGATAAATGATGCTATAGATTACAATATAAACCCTTGTGATAATTTCTATGATTTTGCCTGTGGTAATTGGAAGAAGAACCATATAATTCCTGAAGATAAAACAAGTTTTGGAGTTATAGATGAGCATTTTGAAACAGTTGATATAACCTTAAAAAGTAATGTTGGATCTGTATTATTTTAATAATTACAAAGTCTGATTTCAGTTCCCTCTATTGTTGATGGTTTGCTGTTGATATTAGGTGATCAATATTGCATTTTGAGAAAATTTGTGGATTTTCTTTAATGGTTAATATTGTTTGATTTTTCTTTTGATTATTTAATTTATTTTGGTCTATATATCCATTATTTATTTGTTGCAGATGCACTGGAAAAAGATATTTTCGCAGGTGAGGCGGAGGCACTAATAAAAGCAAAGACATTATACAAATCGTGCATGGACTTAGGTAAGTGAGCTTAAAGTAGTAAAACAGTCTATATTTGCTTTATTGCTACCACATTTATTTTACGAAATTTTTTAATTAAGTTACAATTATTGTACCGATTTTAATTTTTAGGGTTTTAGACCATAATTTCTGAATGGTCAGGTTAGAAAAAAATGTCAAAATTGACACATATTCTCGTTTGCTAATGTATTCTAAACTTTTGTTCGTTGATATTTACATTGATGATTTATATAGTGGTGTTTTTATACGCCCACATGGAAATGTGGACGTATATTATGGTCGCCCCTGTCCGTCCGTCCTTCCGTCTGTCTGTTCACTTTTCTTGTAGGCGCGATAGAAGTTACAGTTTTTATCCGATCTTGATGAAACGTGCTATGCATGTATTTATTGATGAGATCTCGGTCAAGTTCGAAATTGGTAATAATCGGACGAACGGTTACGAATGTGGCTACATAACAAATACAATTTAATAAAAAACGGAACGAAAGCCATTAGATTTTTGAAAGATTCTGAATAGTTCTCCATGTATGTTAGCATGTAAATAGATTAAGATTTGTTTGATTTCAGTGGGTATTAACAATGGTGGAATCACATCCCTTTTGAATTTCTTAAAGAAAATGGGAGAGTGGCCAGTGACCCTGACTTCTTGGCAAGAATCTCAATTTAGTCTAGAAGAAACCATGTCTATCATAACGCTGTATAACAAATTTACCTGGGATGTACTTCCGGTGATCAGCATGAAAGTTGTTCCCGATTCCAAAATGTTAAAAGAACATATCATAGAGGTGTGTATTGACGTCTTTTAACACCAAGCGCGCTAGAAACTATTTTCATTGTGCCAACCAGACAGATGTGTTGTTGATCAGTGTGGTCCAAAATTGATATCATTTATTAAGATACATATAATCGTTTGAGCTTCAAGCAACGATTAACTCCAAGTCTCATTGATTTTATAGTTTGATCAATCGTCTTTTGGTTTGCCCGGTAGAGATTATTTTCTTCACGATCGCAATGATTCCATGTTGAAAGCTTATGAAGAGGTGGCAATAAAAGTTGCTGTATTGATGGGAGCTGATCCTAGTACAGCTGAATCAGACATGAAAGACATGGTAGACTTTGAAATACAATTGGCAAACGTAAGTATCATAGTCCTTTAAGGGACGGGTATGTCATTTTGGAGAGTTGATTTTAGTCTTGAAAATATGTAAATAGTATTCAGAAGTACTAGAAATGTACGAAAATGGTAAATTTTTAATTTCATTTCCTTAGTCCTACAATTGCTGCATGGCTGTTCTGATGCTTGGATGGTTGGTTGGTAGATGTAGATGTAGTCAATAATTATATTCATTCCTTCGTATATATGTGTTCAATAGTTAATCATTTTTACAGATTTCTATACCAGCGGAAGAAAGACGAGATGAGGAAGCACTATACAATAAAATGACGATAGCTGAAATGCAAGAGAAATATACTACAGTAGGTTTTTGTTTGTATAGCTTTCGTTGATGCCATTTACTTCTATTGGTCTTCTTCTATAAGATGCAACATAAAAAAACTTTCGAATTTGACCGACCACACTATATACTCAATGTTAGGCCTACCATATACACACTCTGTCTATATTTCAGTTTAATTGGTTACGATATACACACTCTGTCTATATTTCAGTTTAATTGGTTACGATATACACACTCTGTCTATATTTCAGTTTAATTGGTTACGATATACACACTCTGTCTATATTTCAGTTTAATTGGTTTCAATATACACACTCTGTCTATATTTCAGTTTAATTGGTTACGATATACACACTCTGTCTATATTTCAGTTTAATTGGTTACGATATACACACTCTGTCTATATTTCAGTTTAATTGGTTACGATATACACACTCTGTCTATATTTCAGTTTAATTGGTTACAATATACACACTCTGTCTATATTTCAGTTTAATTGGTTACGATATACACACTCTGTCTATATTTCAGTTTAATTGGTTACGATATACACACTCTGTCTATATTTCAGTTTAATTGGATACGATATACACACTCTGTCTATATTTCAGTTTAATTGGTTACGATATACACACTCTGTCTATATTTCAGTTTAATTGGATACGATATACACACTCTGTCTATATTTCAGTTAAATTGGATACGATATACACACTTTGTCTATATTTCAGTTTAATTGGTTACGATATACACACTCTGTCTATATTTCAGTTTAATTGGTTACGATATACACACTCTGTCTATATTTCAGTTTAATTGGTTACAATATCTACAATCTGTTTTACATATAGATTTGATAAATGTTACTATCACGGATGAAACAAAAATCATCAACACGGCTCCTGCATATTTTGCACAGCTTTCAAATTTAATAGGATCAACTAACAAAAGGTATTGGTGTATTTTTCCTATGAGCCCTTTTAAACAAAAGAAGGTTTTCTACGGTTGCTTTTGCTTTTGTGTTACTTTTGCAAAATATGTGTATTGGTATTGGGTTCACTGCATCCAGGGTCGGCTAGTTTATGAAAAATAATCTATATATATATATGCTATCAGTATAAGAACGCAGGAAGTGCAAAACATTGCATTTCTACTCAACACAAAACATTGCCCGAGTTAATTTAACTTTTCTAGAGTTGTTTTTTCTGGAGTTGATTTGACTTTTTTAGAGTTGATTTTTTCTAGAGTTGTATCGAATTATCTGTGTTGGAGATTTATCGAGAATCTGTTAAATGATTTAACGCCAGAATATCAAGAATTGTACAATAAATTTTCAAAGGTGAGTATGATTGCATTACTCAAATTTAAAATTATACAATCTAATTTGGATCCTATTTTGATCCAGATACAACAATCTAATTTGGATCCTATTTTGAACCAGATACAGCGCCATACAAGATGTATATCCTCATATTTAATATGTTATATAGGTTGTATTCGGTACAGGAACAGCTAAACCCAGATGGCAGAAATGTTCTATGTATACTGAGAATGGATTAAATATGGCTGCTGGTAGACTATTTGTAGAGTCGGCATTTGATAAAGGATCCAAGAAAATTGTAAGCTAAGTTTAAATATCGCGATTTTGACCTCTCCCAAAGTTTAAGAATTTAGATTTTTAATGACGATCGATACAATTTCAATTTCCTACTGCCATTGGGACTGGTTTAAGCAAGTCCACGGGCCCCAAACTCTGAAATACATACACAATTAAAAACAAATGCACCTAAGTATACAATTATAATCAAATTAAGCCACCAGCAATATATAATTGAGTGAAATAATATCAACTACAGAACAGACTGAAATTCTTTAAATCTTCTACATGCGTCCACTCATTCAAGCCACGAGTTTACATTACACTTGTTGTTTAAGTACAAAGTTTTTGGTTATGTTGTGTATCTGTCTGAAATTTGTATTTTTAGATATTAGAAATGATAAATAAATTACGAGCAGCATTTAGTGATCAAATAGAATCAAACATCTGGATGGATGACGAAACTCGAGAAGCCGCAAGAAAAAAGGTGACTCGTCATCTTTGTGAAATATCTGAAAGAGAGGGAGGAATATGATATATTTTACTCATCCATACATCAAAACCTTTTCTTTATTTCTAAAGATATAGGGGGAGCCGCGGTGGCTCAGTGAGTTAGACGCTTGCTCGCTAACCTGAAGGTCCAGGGTTCAATCCCGGCATAGGTCGAGATAATACCTCCGGCTTTTTCAACCTGGTTTCCCCCTGTCAGTGATGCAGGGAAGAGGGGCTGACATGGAAAAAGCGTCTAGTCGTTCGGATGGGACAATAAACCGAGGCCCCGTGTGCTACAGGCTGTGCACGTTAAAGATCCCTCGACAGTTGGAAATCGAAAAAGAGCAGGCTAATGTCGCTGTCCTGGCAAAATTTCCCTTATCGTACCTGCATGGCGTTGCCCGTCTTCATTAGCCCACATGGTGCAGAAAAGTAGGACGTAAAACTCCATTCATTTCATTTCTAAAGATATAGGGCTCCGGCCTTCTACGTCTATGGCTTCTATAAAAGGATATCTTGGCCTTAGAACTAGACTCTGGCTAGAACTAGGGCTTTGTCCTCTTGCGTCTATGGATTCCAAGGATATCGTCGTTACTCGATTTTCTGACGTTCTTGACCTCAGAATTTTCACAAGGAAAAACACCTCGATAGATTAGCCTTATTAGTTGGAAACAGGGCTTTTTAGCTTGATCTCTTGAATTTTAACATAGCAGTGGCAGTATAGAAAATAATAGTTTTTGCCTCACTAAAGACTTTACCAAAGTGTCATGATTTTATAATATATGACTGTTGGCAATGTACACTGTTCTCTTCATTTGTAGGCAAATGCCTTAGATGAAAGAGTTGGATATCCAGAGGAGATTTTAAATGACACCTATTTAAATAATTTGTATAAAAATGTAAGTACATGTATATGAATTAATTTTTTTGTAACGTTTAATGTCGTAATATTGCACTTTGCAACATTGTGAAGAAATCTTCTGTAGTATATGTAACTTTATATATATTATATTCCATGAAGAATTCTCTATAACACACTAGAAATGTGTACAAGATATAGAAGACACGCGGGCTTCTTGTCAAAAATAATTTTACTTTTTATGAAAGCACGATAGCTTTAATTCTGGGAATATTACAATCCAGCGATCTGAAATAATTGTTATAGGCCCTATGGATAATACTTTTTTTGCCAAATTTAAATGGCATGGAAGCCGTTTCTCAAATAAATTTGCAATCATAAATATAGGTTTTTTTTTTCAAACGAGACCTTAAATTATTATGGGTTTCATTCTCATTCTTCAGATAAAGTATAATTCAAGTGATTATTTCAACAATATATTAGTTACAGAGCTTCAACAAACAGTCGATAAAGCAAAATTATTACAAGAACAAGTCGATAAATCAAAGTGAGTATGGTGATGCACATCATTTACATTATAGACTTGACTAAAGAGGGTTTGTATCGACTGATGCATTCAAACCAGATCAATCCATTCCGTTTCAAGAATTCCACCAACAATGGCCAGTTCTTGGTAACATAGGAATTTTAGGTTGTAATGTTACGGAAGCACAGGTATAGGCAGACATAGGGTTACTGTTATATTACGGAACATTACAGGCCACAGGGGAGTAAAGGAGGCAATGCACGCACTATAACTACCTCAGTATCTCGCCATTTTCATCGCTTTCTTGCCCTATCCTTCGCTTTCCTGCCCTTTTCCTATCTTTCTGTCGTTTGTATTGGTATTATTTTTGTCCTTTTTCTCGCGTTCTCGGCAGAGAAAAAGGCGCGAAGTCCAGACAACGAAAAAGTGAAAAAAAAGGCAAGGAAAAGGGCGAGAAGCGAGGAAAAGGCAATTCTGTTCGTCCTTATAACAATGGTTGCAGCAGAAAACAAATGCTTATTTTTTTCAGATGGTTATTTGGCCCAGCTTTTGTTAATGCTAATTATTATCCTTTATCAAATTATATGGGTAAGTAATGTTACTATTCAGTAGACCTTGTTATTGCTGCTATTTTATCAAACGCAGAATAAACACTCAAAAAACTTAGGTAAAGTTTATTTATCTTGATATTATCAAACCTATTTTCATTTCCAGAATTTCCTGCGGCCATCCTTCAGAACAGATTTTATAGTAAAACCTATCCTAGGTATGCTAATATATTTTTCATATCACTCTTAGAACTTGAAGCGCCAACAAACGGAAGGCTAATGGAATCCCAACGAAACTGACAAGTTTATTTACAAAGATATTGAATTTTATCGAAACATGTTACCTGTTTTGAAGCAAGTGATTAAAAAAAAAAAAAACAATGTGACGGAAAACTACAGTCAGAATTCTTGGGTCTTTTCCAGACCTGAATGGCCTAAATGTTTGTTTTTATGTGATTACTTGATTTTTGTCAATCTTATAGGAGCGTTAACTTTGGTGGCATTGGTATGGTAATAGGGCATGAAATAACTCATGGTTTCGATGACATTGGTATGTTTACGATTTTTCGGAGATTTTTCCCTTGCGACTCAAAGACTGATATTAGCAAATTTGATTAAAATTAGTTTTAAATTTCGTTTCTTTTTTTTTTTTCGTCTCCATCAAGCTTCACTTAGCGAGTTTTCTATCACAGTCCCATTAATTAGCTTATTTCAACCAATGTATCACGTACAACCCGTTCTTTTAGGACATAACGCATTGTGGGATACCGAAACGCAAAGATGCTTATTTTATTACTCTACTTTGGATTTCGCTATCCCACAATTTGATATGTTGTTCAGAAACCGCTTCTACTTGCCACGCTCAGATTGGTTAAGAGTAGCGTCATTTGAACGGGACTGCGGTATAAAGCCTTTATAATTGTATGCTATATAATTTTAAGTATAGGCTCGGAATTGATCTACGTACTATTTCTTACAGGTAGACAATTTGATGAATATGGTAATTTAAAACAGTGGTGGACCAACACATCAATAGCTAACTTTAAAAAACAAGCCCAATGTTTAATAGACCAATATTCTGATTTTACTGTCCCTGAAATTGGGTCGAAGGTAAGTTATTTTATGTAGTTAAATCTGTGAATATGTTGCAGAGCCTCAATGGAACTTTAATGGTAGACCATTTGGTTAAGCATAAGAGGAGTGGATTCATTTTGATTAGGTCGTCGGTAGGAAGAATCAACTGTGGATGGAGTAAGAAAATGCATATAAATTTTTTTTTTAGATGAATGGGATTAATAGCCTAGGAGAAAATATAGCAGATTGTGGTGGTCTCATACAGGCATATCAAGTAGGTTGCCCATTTTTCCCATCTGCTCTTCTGTAATATGGTTTGCCTTTTCGCGGATTGATTTCGGAGAGTATATATAATGTAAATAGTCTTCAGAACAACTAGAACTGCACGAAAATTACATAACTCTTCAAATATACTTTTTAATTTCATGGTTCATTTCTGTATGTGGCGTCGTATCAAGACAGGATGTCATTTTGATTTTAACGCGGATAATTCTTGACGCACATGAATTTGAAGGCTGAAATTTGAACACTATTATTAATTAGCTTAGCGAAAGAAATTTCCGTTTCTCAAGATCGTTTATTTCACAGGCTTATAGAAAATGGGTAGCTGAAAAGGGTAAAGAAGAAGCACCACTGCCTGGTTTACCGTTTACCCACGACCAACTATTATTTATTAATTATGCCCAGGTTCGTTCCATTTAAGTATGTTTTATGTCCCTCGAATATTTCTATCAAAAATCCGAAAACTGAACTCTACAGCCACTCGCGGACGTCAGAATGGTGATAATGAAAACAAAATGAATGAAAAAGAAACTGCCACAAACTAGAAAGTGAATTTGATCATAATATTTAAGAGTCGTTAATTTAGCCAATGCTTTCGGATAAAACAAGTTTTAAATTTTATGTCATAGTTACATATTTGTAGACTTTCATATTCCATTTACTGCATCGATTCCTTTCCTTCTTCGATTTTCTAATTTGTATTTCATTCATAGTCTTTCTGTACTAATATAAGACCAGAAGAGGCCAAACAAAGAATACTTACAGAAAGGCATTCGCCGAATAGATTTAGGTAAGATTTTCCCGACATGTATGAAAGTTCCTTAATTTAACTGCTCTTTAGTTACCGTTTTCAACTATCCCTCCCTGATTCATGGCCAACCAGATACCAACCAGAGCTGGAAGATTTGCTCGATCGGCTACAATTCGCCAAATTATGTCGGAATCTGGGCATTGTATGGTCTCTATGGGTGTATAGTTACCTCAATGCAATGTTGTCAAACAACGCTGTTTGGAATTTCTGCCTTGTGGTCTCTACATCCCGACCTGAAGTCAACCAATGACATTGTGTGCTTGACAATTTTCTTTAAGCCAGAATGGAGGGATCTGATGCCGGTGTAATTAGGCCGAATTATCGGCCGTGGCGACGCCAGATTCCCGAGACTTGGGCTACAAATTGGGGCAGACTGACTTAATAGGCGGATAGCCGTCGAGGATGAGATTCAAAACGCGACAACAAAGACAAGAGCATCTGGAAGGGTTTCCCAGAGAGAAATTTTAAAAGAAGGATTGATTTGGTATCTTCTGGAACATATTTTTGGACATAAACATATGAAGACATTTTTTTTTTTTTGTACATTTTGGGGTACAAACTAATGCTACTGATAATCGGCCATGTCTTATTTGTCAGTATGACGTCCGAGTGGACAATATGATCTTTCAGATCAATCATGAAATTTTGAAATTATGCGCCTTGAATTTGAGTAAATTGAACCTATTTGCCCATTTATAACAAACGTTTTCTTAGATAAGAATTTTTATTTCAGGATAATTGGGGCTTGTCAGAATTCCATAGACTTTGCCAGAGTGTTCAAATGTCCTGAAAAATGTGTTATGAATCCAATCAAGAAATGTTCTGTTTGGTGAAATTTCTCGTGTTGAAATTCGCCTTTTCTCGACTTGTACATTACAATGATAAATAGTAATAAATATATTGATTTAACTGAATAATAATTGATATCTCAGATGAGAAAGTTACATTGTGAAAGATGTGAAACGACATGACAGAAAAATTAAATTTTTCTATATCGATTTATCCTGACGACGTTGCCTCATATTGTGTCGGACCCTTACGCTAAGATGAACATGATCATGATAGCAATATAGTTTATGCAAAAATAATATATTCTCCTTGCATCCCGTTCATGTTATTATTCTTCAAAAATTTAACCCCAAAATTCTCTTGAGAAGTTGTTTTGCCACTTTCCCGTAAGGAAATAATTATCATTAATTCAGTTGACGTAAATACTATGTAAATTAAATATTATTTAAAATAACGAAAGCCAGTGAGCTTATGCTTATCACTAATTACATTGAAGGTGGGTGATAATAAGTTTCTGCAAAAGCATGGATCTTATTGGTTGATTGCAAAAGTTTGAGAAAAAAAGTGGGTGGGATAATTCTATAAAACATTTTGAAATGTATTGTCTTTTCATTTAATGTGGCTGTTACCTACACCTTCAGTAGAAATTTCCAATCACTGGATACAGCTCGGAAGCATCAACTTTACAAGCTTGAAAATGTCAGTTGTTTTACCTAGAATGAAGAATTTTGATAGTGAAGAATTTGAAAAGTTAGAAGGAGGAGGATTTTCTACAAGAATCGATGGTGTCTTTTACAGATTGCCAACTTTACCTTTGTTTATGGAAAATCCTAAGAACTCGTTGAAAGCGAAAGAAGAAGAAGGAGAATATCATATGTAATATATTCTATACAGTAAATACAGTGAAAAAATGATTAACTATATGAATATACTAAATGTACAATAGTATCTACTGGACTGAAAGTAAAGCCAGCGCTACCACCTATTTACAGCAGTGGAACTCAAATACAATGAACCTTGCTTGGATAAACTGTCGAAAACAAGAATTCGGGGTTTAAATAGAGTTGTATAATTCATTATTTATATTTTCTTTATGCTTGTACAAGACTTAAAGTTTCCGAATCATGTCTTTGAATCTCCAGAATATGATATATTCAGTTGAGAATAATTTATAATGCATAATTATAGAATAAATTTATTATTATTATCATTATCATTATTGATATTGTTATTATTATTCAATGAAATGTATCAATTTCATTTATATCATTATTTATATAGTTGTACATTTCAAGGATGTTCAAACTATATACAAACTGTTTCAATTCATGTAAAGCAGGCATGTGTAACCTTTCCGCAACGGTGGGCCCCATTTGGGGCATACGAGTAGTCCGTGGGTCACGTAACCAACCATCAATGAATCATGGAATTAACAATTAGAAACATGCATTTATTCAATAACGTTTTTCAATGTGTATTGCAAATACATACATATTTGACATAAAATCACTGTTGAACACGAGGTCAGACCTCGTTAACGATTTGATTGGTTAGATTCATTTTGACGTCATACTTTGATAATGATATAGCAGCGCCGATATAACGGGTTTCGATATTAGAATAGACAGCGACAATCTCCGGAAAAATGATAGTTTTGACCAGGTCTTAGATTTATCTAAGTTACCATCATGGGGCATACTATTGAAATCTTGATTTAAGTTAGAATTCTATATATCATGACTGATGTTTTTTGAATAACATGATCTCAAGTTGGCGTCACATTTTACCAACAAACAACAACTCTATCTGCACCTAACAACATTTATCAAACATGGTGTCACCCCTACTTTACAGTGTTCATTCCCGTTTTGTCAGTATCAAACTAAACTTGGGTCAATATAAATCCTGATAATGAGAAAATTGAGTACTGATCTGTGTTTGTTTTTGACCTTAGAATGACTTGTCACTAAGAAAATCAAGGTGTGTGGTGAGTATGCTGCAAGTTATTTAACCATCAAACGTTGGTCAGCCCTTTTCACGAGTGGCATGGAGAGTTTTGATGAAGACAGGTTGGGATGCCCGCCAACATCAGTCAATGAGGATTCCTTCAAGGCATCCAGAGACTTATTCTTTTTGATAGACTAGTGCTGAAATAGAGAAGAAAACCAGTTTAAGTCATGGATTTATGTGATCATAATTCATGACCTCTGCTCGTTGGGTTGGATATACATATATAACTAAAACAGAGATATAATTGGGATGAATACATTATAATAACTTTAATTTACTATGGTCAATGAATATTCACAAAAATACAATAATAATAATAATAATAATAATGATAATTATAATGATACAAATAATAATAATGATAATCATTATAATAATAATAATAAACTAATTAATCGATGCTATCCTGTAAGGATGTATTATGTCCCTTTAAATGAGTGATGACAAACTAGAGTTGAGAGCAAGTGACTGTTTATTAAATGAGACACTTTTTCTACCAAACTTTACACTTCTTCTCTGGGTTCATATAACTTGATACAGGACAACCAAATGTCTTGGCAAAATCTGGTGAATTTTGGAGAGTTCCTATCACCCTGAAAATAGATGCATGAATCCGTTAAGTATAAATACAAAGGAAAGAAAATAATATAATAGTGGCGTTATTTTTTTTTCCGCTGTGTCCCTTAACGTATCTAAAAGTTTTAAAGAAAAGAAACCCCGCCGTTAAGTTATCAATGCCAAAACTATTTGAAAGGTTAACGTAAACTTTTTATGTTCCATAGATGTCAATAGCATATTTTATAAATATTTGCAGGTATAATTTACAACGTTTAGGAAAATAATTTGCAAAATACCCCTTTTAAAGCGGCTGAATAAATATCGTCATTTGAGTTCAATGAGTCGAAGTAATATCCCACTCAATACTAAAGTTTTTCGGGATCTAGAACTACCATAAAAAAAGCCTTTATAACCTCTATTTTAAATAATCAAAAGTTATGGATCGTACGGTTGACTATGGTTGAGGTCTCGAGTATAAAGGTGATTTTTGTACAGGGTTGTTGAACCTTTTTTGGTTCAAATTACGATAATTAATGTGAGGTTAACTTTACATCCCTTTTAGATTCAACCTTTACTAATAATGTAAGTTAATTTTTGGTGTTATAAACAACAGTGTTCAGTAGCCTTATAATTGCCGCAAAAATTGGTGTTTTAATTATTGATATTGTGTGTTTTAGAATTAATATTTGATGTTTTATTATTAATATTGGTTGTTTTATTAATGATATTTGTTGTTTTATTATTAATATTGGTTGTTTTATTAATGATATGGGTTGTTTTATTAATGATATTGGTTGTTTTATTAATGATATTGGTTGTTTTATTAATAATATTGGTTGTTTTATTAATGATATGGGTTGTTTTATTAATGATATTGGTTGTTTTATTAATGATATTGGTTGTTTTATTATTAATATTGATTGTTTTATTAATGATATGGGTTGTTTTATTTATGATATTGGTTGTTTTATTATTAATATTGGTTGTTTTATTAATGATATGGGTTGTTTTATTAATGATATTGGTTGTTTTATTGATATTGGTTGTTTTATTATTAATATTGGTTGTTTTATTAATGATATTGGTTGGTTTTTTTTATTAATATTTGATGTTTTATTATTAATATTGATTGTTTTATTAATGATATTTGTTGTTTTATTATTAATATTGGTTGTTTTATTAATGATATGGGTTGTTTTATTAATGATATTGGTTGTTTTATTAATGATATTGGTTGTTTTATTATTAATATTGGTTGTTTTATTAATGATATGGGTTGTTTTATTATAAATATTGGTTGTTTTATTATCAATATTGGATGTTTTATTATTAATATTGGTTGTTTTATTAATGATATGGGTTGTTTTATTAATGATATTGGTTGTTTTATTAATGATATTGTTTGTTTTATTAATGATATTGGTTGTTTTATTATTAATATTGGGTGTTTTATTTTTAATATTGGGTGTTTTATTATTAATATCGAGTGCTTTATTGTTAATGTTTGGTGTTTTCTTATTAATACTGTCTGTTTTATTATCAATACTCGGTGTTTTATTATCAATATTGGGTGTTTTATTATTAATATCGAGTGCTTTATTGTCAATGTTGGGTGTTTTCTTATTAATATTGGATGTGTTATTATTAATATGGGTTGTTGGGTGTGTTATTATTATTATTTGGTGTGTTTTTATTATTATTGAGTGTTGTATTGTGGGTGTGTTATTATTAATATTAGGTGTTTTGTATTATTACTATTGGGTGCTTATTATTAATATTGTGTGTTTTATTATTCATATTGGGTTTATTATTGATATTGCGTATGGATGTTTTATTATTAATATTGGGTGTGTTGTTAATATTATTGAATGTTTTATAATCAATATTACGTGTGGTTGTGTTATTATTAACATTGGGTGTGTTATTATTGATATTGGGTATTTTATTATCAATATTGGGTTTTTATTATTAATATTGGGTGATTTGTTATTATGTTTTAGTGTTTTACACTCGCATATAGAATGAACAATTATTACCTGTATTTACTAGGACTATGAACACCCGATAGAACTCTACCAATAGCATTTTGTTTCCTCATGTTAGCACACCATACCTGCAAGAAATATTTTTATCACAAATTATTGCACTCTTTCATACGGACAAAATATATTGACAATAATTCCCAGAAAGTTAATGAGTCAGGGCCAAAATACCTAATTGACCTCCAATTTAATTCATAAACCGGGTCAGAATCACCACCACTTATATATCCGTATCATTTGGAACTGTAAAGTTTTCTTAAATAAACATGCTTTACCTGTGCAAAATTTATAAAGAAAAGTTGATTCGGTGAGAAATCTAAACCTGGTAATTTTGGTTCTTCCTTTCTTTTTTGAGCAACCCATTTTCTGTAAGCCTAAGAGAATAGGAAAATAAATTTATAAGATCATTAACACAATAATTATGATGATAGCCATTGATATTAAATTTTACTATAGATACCCTAAATGATATTCCTTCTGGTTTCCCAGGAAATCTGAATTTTAATATCTCTCGTTGAATATTGAAAACGCTTAAAGTCATTGAAATTTTTTTTTAAAATTGAAGGGTTTGGTTCTTTATACAAGGAATGTATGATCTAGAACATAAGCATTGCCTATTTCTTGGAAATACCACCTCCAGTGTGATATAGTGTGATTTGATGTTAAAAATACCTCGGACTACTACTATCTAAGATGTTATAAAAGATGGTTCGACTATTGTGTCAATTCTTGAAAAAATTGACTTTAACAGTGAGCTGCCAGTCTTAATTCTCACCTTAAAACTTTGCGTTACAGCACCATTATCAGCTATATTTTCACCTAGTGTATTTATACCATTGATCTGTAAGAATGTTCGAATGTTCTATTTGATAGTAGTCGCTCTGAAATCTTAACACCTGCGAATGACTTTGATGTGTCTGTCAAAAAATGTATCTTTTTTTAATTCCATTCCAAGGCCATTAATGGAACATTTTTTGGTGTTGTGTCAACGATTCATAGGCGAGTTCAATGCGTCTTTAAGCCCCTTAACATTAATTTACATGACATATCTGATCATTTTGGTATAACATTTCTAAAAACTTAAATATCCTATGAGTGAAAATATAACAAATACCTGTAACTCTGCTTCTTCAACAGTAAAATTACCGTACTGTTCTATCACACACTGAGCTCTAGTTTTAAATACTTCTACAACATCATCAGACCACCATTGTCTTAACGAACCAGTTTTATCATATTGTCTACCTACAAAAAAAAAATGAAAATCTTGTAGACATGGCTAGTAATAAACTATTACATTACTACAGGCAAATTTTTCAGAAGACCTTGAAACGTTGGTCGGTGATAATAATGAAAGTGTTTTATTCAGTTTGGTTGTTTGTTACAATTTGAATTATATTTGAATAATAAACGCCAATTCCGTTGAAAACAAGTAAACCCATTACTTATTTCAGTAAAAGTCGAGTATACCATTGGCTTTGCAGTAACCAGGATTTGCAACGGGTTTATTTTTTGTTGGTGTAGGTTATATTAAAGTAATCTAAAGAAATTTTTATGACCTTTAAGAATAATTTGATCCAAAATATTTTGAATATATTTTATGCATGTGGTCTTACCTCGATCATCAAAACCATGAGTTATTTCGTGTCCAATAACTACTCCAATTCCTCCATAATTTATAGCTCTATAATAATAATAATAATAATAATAATAATAATAGCTATAGGAACGATGCTGGTAATACAGATGAATGTCATTCAGACGGTAAAGACAAGTATTTGGATATTTCTGAGAAAATATGGAGCTACTTACTTCAAAAAGTTTTTGTGATAGAATGGAGGCTGTAAAATGCCGCCTGGAAAAACTGAAATAGAATTAATTTTCATATACAACATCTACTATTTTTCGTGAAACGAATTAATAGTCTTGATATATTCAACCGCAATGTTACAACCTAAAAATCCCAGTGCTCTGCTAAATGGAATCATTTAATCTTTAAAGATCTTTAAAGTCGACTGACGATTTAGAGCATCTCATCGGATCAGTCGCAGTGGCGGAGCCAGGTTTACGTCCGAAAGGGGGTGGGGGGCGAAATACCTGAAGTTGCCTGAATTTCCAACCTGGTTATGAGATTTTTGCCCGAAAAACATGCCTTCGGGGCTACTAGGAGTGGGGGGTGCACCCCCTGCCCCCCTTTAGCTCCGTCACTGACAACTGCAATCAGCTGGATGGTCGCAGATTCCAACACTTTCAGATTCAGTCCCTAATAGAAATTAAATATGGAGCAACTGATGGCATGTATATGTCAAAATTATTTAGTAATTGCGATTTACTTTGAAAATGTGATATATTTACCTATTTCGTTATTTGTTGGAGAATAGTAAGCATTCACTGTCGGAGGCAACATAAACCATCTGGAAATTTAATACGAATATGCCATTGATTGAAAAATTCTCTGTTCACCAGCATGTCTCAATATATTGAATATTGATAATAGTTCCCAATCAAAGTATCTTGGATTTAGATTTTCAGCGGTTAATTTGGGTCTTTAATATATGTCAGTATTCTTCAAAAGTACCAGAAATAGAAAGTTCATTTTCTTTTTCTATATGTCTTTTCGATATATATAGAAGAGTATCAAGAAAAGACGAGTCGTCATTTTAACTTTCAAACGCAGATAATTCTGGACACATATGAAGACTCAAATTTCGACGGTTAGCTGTGAATACTATTTCTGATTAGCTAAGATATTCACGTTTCTGAGATTGTCGTATGGCGAACGTGTCCCTTCAAATATCAGAATCTTTGTGGGTTAATAATTACGCTTCAAAAATGCTGACATTTTAGGCCCACCATTTTCTTTGTAACCGTACTTTTCCATTTTCCATGTAATTTCCTTTATTGCGCTCACTGTCTTGGTTTTCTGTCACATCTCAATGGTCGCAAGACAGAAGAGGTGGAATATTTCTTGATCAGATTGCACTTACTTTGTTTTATCAATAGGTTTTCTGAGTTCTCTAAAATGCTCCGCATTTGCTTCTTGCATGAAATTAATGATATTCATAAAATATCCATCTTCAGAAACGGTATACTAAAACATGTATATTTTGTCAAATAATATCAATCTATATAGCTTTCTTTATACATTCATTTTTTCATATCAACATCAGATAATTAGTGAAATTACATTGATCTTCTTTGGTAGTTACTTCCATTGAGTTTTGTTCTATGGTGCTTTCATGAAATAAAGCAACGCCATTTGGATTGATTTGCTTTTCTAAACATTAAATGTACTTAAGTGTCAGTGACACTAACAGTTCTTTTGTCACCAGACCTTGTGCTATTGTGACTAATCGTGTACGAATCATAACGTCACTACCGCATTTTGGTTTACATACAAGTTAAGTTCTCTACTTACGTTTTCAGAGAGCTTCATAAGATATGTATCATTTAGTATCTTTTCATCATAACCAATTTTCTTGTTCATTGCGTCCAACTAAAATTGAGGTTTTGGATTATTTTTTGTTTTCAAATGGAAATTTGCTAAACATGTATATACTTTAGATCTCGTACTAAAAGTGACACTTACATGCATTAAGATCTACCTTTTGATTCGAACAGATCCACTGAAACATTGAAAGCATATCAACCTTTTCTTTGGCAGCTTTACTTGTCGGTTCATCCATCCAGTTGTTTGAAACAAGTTGTTCTTCAAACGATAATTTCAAATTACCAATTAATTTCAACACCTGGAAAAAGTAAACGATTTAAATTGCTTTAAGCATTATATTAAGGTTCCATATAAGGTTTATATATATTTACATGATATGAAGCAAACTATGACATATTTAGGCTTGGTATATTTAGACATGAATACCTTTTATTGACATCAACAGTGAAATGAATTTCATACTTACATCAGCTTTGGCTGCTTCGTCGAAAGCTTCTTTAACAAACATTTTTCCAAGAACGTCACCAACAATCCAAGCTGCACCAATGCACTGTTTCCATCTAGCAGGTTCCGTAGAGGTTCCAGTAAATACCTGTTAATGCAAACGAAAGTGCTTTTCTACAAAGAAGGTATAAATGAGTCATGAATTCCTTTCCAAAAAGCAATTCCGCGATTCTGATTGACCTTATCAGTCTCTCTGGAAACAAACCAAATTTGCATAAAATAAGATTATTTTTAGGCCAGGTTACACGCAGTACGTTTCCAAGCATATATAAAACCAACCTCACCTGTGTTTAATGAAATAAGATAAATACCTTAGAATATTCCAAATTAAGATCACGAAATGCTTTTCCAAGAGAACTAATTCTATTTCTTACAATTCCCCAGACACAATAGTTTACAATAGTTCTGAAATATATTTAAATTGTTCCTATGTTGATATATTAAGTTATTCATTAATTACAAAATCAACCGAAATTAAACGCTTATATACGCTTTTTGTTTTTTAAAAATTACGTTGTTTTATGGATTTATCGGATTATGCAGGGATTCTGTTGTATATCTATGCCGCCAGTCCACGGAAGAATATACCCTTAATGACCACATTTTGCATTCTAAAAAGTGGTATATCTTTAATAATGTTAATTTTCGATATGAAATGAGGTTTTTCGTCCAATTCCATTGCATATCAATAACTGAATCTGACATATTTGTTTTTAAGCTTCAGATTCAAATCCAAGATTGTTGTTACAAATTGAATCAGAAGAGTATTTTTGACCATTCGCCTTCGTTACCATATATATTTCTTTAAAGCAATAGGTAGTAAACCTTAATTTGAAATCAAACTTACTCTTCATATGAATAAAAATGTTACCTTTTTGGAGTATTATTAAGCAATGAAAACAGTTTGTCAAAATATGGCGGTGAATAATTAATGATCTCTTCGTCTTCGGTGATATCTATTTGTATTTTAGGTGATGACATAATAGAATTGATATATCCTAACCAATCAAACTGAAATAATGTGAATACAATAAGAAAGGAAATAAAAATGTTCAGTTTTTTTGGGCTTCTTCACAATATCAAGACATTACAAACTTCGTAATTATGCCTTGACTGCAATATTTAGTCAACATTCTTGTATCAGTGAAGTTTGTAAACAATTTGATTGGATTGTACGTTAGCGAATACAGCCAATCAGAATCAGCATCGACATAAAGAACATATCGCTGTACTGTTTACAGCCCTTTTGTCGATGGATCTGATTGGCTGTATTCGCTGGAGTGCAACCAATCACAACGCTGCTTTCTGTGATACAAGAATGGTGGCTATTGCAGTCAAGGTATAAGTAGGAAGTTCGTGATTGAAATTGTGAAGATGTTCCTTATCTTATTCATGCCGGATTATTCATATCTATTTAAAGCAAGGTGTATGTCAAAAAGGAAGATTTTTCAGTCAAGAGACTTTCTTACACTGCTATTGGATCGAAACAACATTACCATCAAACATTCCACCTTAAAACCACTACAGTAAGGTAATTTATTATGATGTGTTATAATCTCGGTCGGTCTGGTGAACTTGAATAAGTCAGATTATTACCTCTGAATAATTCTGAGCAAGTTGAGCAAAGGTCATTTTATTATATAATTTTTCACTATCTCTCCTTTCCTCTGATGGTACACTAATCTGTAAAAGATATAATGAGACTGAAATTTTTGCTATCCAAAACAGTTGAAGGTCTCAATTGATACAGCTCGCAAAGGGTCTTCATTGCAGCTTATGGGACCATGGGGAAATACACACATTAAATTTTAAAAGAATATATAGGAGAAACTTAAAATAATTTACGCAATCGTTTTACGACTCACAGATCAGATATTGAATTGAAGAAATACAAGTCTGTTTCTAATCATTTCAACTTGGACGACCCTTCATCATTCGTCAAGCTACGGAGCCCATTGGATTCTGACCCTATATACAGCAAGACCTGCAAATTGGGGGGAAATCCGAAATCTAATATATAGATAATAAACAAATTATACATTTTAGTAGAGTCTAATTATAAAAATTAGGCTTACGTTTGCAAGAAGTATTTCAAAATCCACTATGTCTTTCATATCTTGTTCAGCTACCGTTTTATCTGCACCTAACATAGTTGCAACTTGAAAAGCCAGATTTTCATACGCCATGATCATTGTATCATTTCTTTCTTTAAAAAAGTATTTCTGTGGCATACCTAAATACGCTTGATCTAGCTGTAATACAGGATGTACAATAGTTCATATGACATATTAGATTTAGATTGGCACATTCAACCATTTATTGGCAATAACTTTCTAAATATTAAATATTTCCTAGGCAAGTATTGAAATAGTATTAAATATTTCAGTGGCATATACTAACATAATATATTTCATTGTCATGCATGTATACTTACATAAAGTATTTCAGTTACATGTACTTAATATAAAATATTCCATTGTCATATACTAACAAAAAATATTTCAGGCCCTATTATGACATAATATGATATATTTCACTGACTAACAAATGCAATGGATATTTCACTGATTAACAAATACAATGGATATTTCACTGATTAACAAAAGCAATGGATATTTTACTGACTAACAAATGCAATGGATATTTCACTGACTAACAAATGTAATGGATATTTTACTGACTAACAAATGCAATGGATATTTCACTGACTAACAAATGCTATGGATATTTCACTGACTAACAAATGCAATGGATATTTCACTGGCTAACAAATACAATGGATATTTCACTGATTAACAAATGCAATGGATATTGCACTGACCAACAAATGCAATGGATATTTTACTGACTAACAAATGCAATGGATATTTCACTGATTAACAAATGTAATGGATATTTCACTGGCTAACAAATACAATGGATATTTCACTGACTAACAAATGCAATGGATATTTCACTGAATTGTATCATGTATAGGTTTGGTTCCAAGGGATTCAATTTTATCTTAAAATGACAAAAGAACTTATGTAAGTCTATAGCATGGTATTCCTTTAATATGCAATAATAATATTTTTATAGTAAATAGTTTCGTTTCGGTTTACTTGTCATCCATGATCTAACGAAATTGTTACGCATCTCCTATTCAGGGTCATATGATGTTCAATCAACAGCAGTTTAAAAATGCATAAGCCAAACTGCCATTTCAAAGACTAGTACTGGTTGAATCTAAACATATTTAAATATTGAATTTATTCTACTATACCTGTATCCAGACAAGACCTATACATTCGTTTAGCTTTCTTGGCAGGTTCAATATCTCCTGTTTCTGATGCTTCTAATAGATCTTAAAACAACAATAAAAACAAACAACTCCATCATAAACATCGCCCAGAGTATGACAAAGTTGGAAGCAAAAATAATTGTATAGTAGTGTTTTGAAAAGGGTATTTCATCATTTTTTCTTATTACATACAGTATTTGTAATCACGTGTTTTTTTTATTTTATATCAGCACCTAAACACTGAATATTCACTAGAATACTGGAGCCAGTCCGTTATTATCCCCAAGTGTGTGGCAGTCAAGTAACCTTGTGTAAAGTCCAATGATCCTATAGTAAATTAAATGTGCATGTCACGTTTCACATAGCAGCACGACATGAAATACGTACATTTCAGTATTACGTCAACATCATCAAACACCAAATCAAAGCTGCCATAGGACGATCTATCTTCAGGTATAATATTCTTCTTCTTCCATGTTCCACAAGCAAATTCATAGAAATCATCACAAGGTTTAACTTTATAGTCTATAGCGTCATGTATTCTACCAGCTGGAAATAAAAAGACCTATACTGATACAGCATGTTAAGCAAAGGGGAGATGAAGCTTTATATAATCCTCAAGAACATTTGCATTCGATCAAATGTTGCCGATTAAATTCAGTCAATTATTCCACATACATTCACATCTTCAAGTACAATGACATCGAATTTATTCTGTTCAAGTGCCCTGACATCTAAGCAATAATCCTCAACTATATCAGCATCAAATCAAGTACATTGACATCCAATTAACGTTTACCATGTACATTGACATCCAATAACTGTCCTCAAGTACATCAACATTCAAGCAATTTTCCTCAAGAACAATGAGTAGTCTAATTTTTCAATTAATTTCTACCAACCATTTCTAAGAATTACTTACCAACTCGAACACAGTCCGGGGTGGTACAGACATCAGGTGATTCTTTAGCTACAATATTTAAGCAAACACCCGGTTTTAAATCTCCTAACGTGTGCAAATCTTGTAATCTTTCTTTACATCACTTAGATTTTAGACGAGGATTACACGATTATTCAAGAATTTAAATAAATAAATAAAAAACAACTTAGTCATCGTGGATCCTCCAATTAAATGTCAAAACAAACAATCACCATTTTATATGTACTTTTCAAGATAAGTACGGCGATATTACAGGATTTATAAATATGCATTGAACTGTGAAAATGACTAGTTGAAATTTCTACTTCTGTCGCAATTACCATTTGATTTGAATAATATGCCTTAAGGAGATATGAAAATGGTAACATTAGAAGATACGAAGGGCCCGGCACAAATTAAACCTTATTTGACACTGTTCAAATATTGGATATTGCCTTTCTTTGAAATTTACCCACAATGTAAACGAAGCAACTTACACAATACATGAATATGTATAATCAAAGCCACTATTAAACCAATAGCAACAATGAGTATCAATATTAAAAACAACATTAAACATTTCTCTAATTTACTTCTTCTGTTACACCAACCACCTTCTTTAAATCTGTAAACAACATCAGAAATTGGCCATATGATACCAAGACCTCCGACAACACCAGACTTTTTTCAGTATATATTGTTAAAAAAAAATCAACTACCATACTGATTGATAGACCCTAAGTCCACTCGCACCCACTCCCAGAAAACAGGAAAAAATTTAAAATAATGTGAAAATTAGTGAAATACATGTCCAAAGTGTGGAAGAGTAGAAGTTGTGTAGAAGTGGACTCCTTCAAAGAGAAGTACCATCAGGTGTTTCGAAAAGAGTAAGCATGGTCTGATTCGCGCGTGACACCCGCCACTACCACAATGGTAAAAATCATAAGATACAATCAGATCAATTAAAAAAAATTCCCGCCCATCTAGTTGAGCCACTGTGGCTCAGGTATCAAGAGTGTAAAGCTCTATTGGTACGGATATTGATATTTTCAAAAAAGCTTTATGTTGCGAGTATAGCTTATTATTATAGCTTCCTTGAGGAGAGGACACCAACACTACTTAACAATGATGAACAAAACTGTTACAAATTGAATCCTGTCATGCTGAAACCCTGGGGTTTCCATCTATCAAATAAAAATCTGCACGGGTATCGATGTGAACCCGATATTGCTGGCTAAAATATCGCAAAAACTTTTATTTCTGATTTTGCAGTTGAGTGACGAACAAAAACAGATTTTCTGTATATAATGTATGGATAACCAAAAAATATTCCTTTCTACAAAAACCTATTGGCATTAGATCCTGAGAATTAAGGGTGAAAATAGTCGTCATAGGCCAATAGTATCATCTGGCAGATGTTTTCTTAATCATTATATTCAACTACATATTAACAGATTCTTAGGTATTGACATTTATGCGACAAACTGAAAAGTTTTCAAAATTTCTTGAAACATTTATAGAAGGTTGAATTTCGTGTTTTAACGTGGATCCTATTTGAATTTGATAAATCTGTATGTTCGGTAACTATTGATAGACATAGAGAGTTGTGGAACCTTAACAAGTAGTAATCCGCTTTAATGCCGAGGCATTTTATCCCTTATCTAGAGCGATAAAAGCTGATTAGATTTAGATGCCTAAATCATTTAAAATAACGTTATTTGTCTTACTTGATGTCTTCTGTTGATACTAGAACAACATTGCTTCCAGTGAAACCTGATCCATCTTTAGTCGGTTCGGCCATAGTGCTAGTCACATTTTGATTGCAGGAAAGAAGTAAAGTATTTCCAAGTTGATAACTTCTGAAGTGATCGGGAAAGAATAGAACCATTCTCTGATTAGGATAGGATTTATAGGTAGGCTCACCTGGCCTTGGACTATATCATTTTCTAGGTCGTCCATTATGGCCTTCTGTGGCGTTCTTAGCTTTCTATTATTATACAATGGTACATTATGAATTATATTGAGATATTATACGTTAAGATTCTATTCAAAAAATACGCTGTCTCATCTTAGGTTAATGATCTATTCTTCTTGTATTATGCATGTCAGAAAAGTATATAATATGGAACAATAAGACATTGAAATAACCACAGTTTAAAACAGATTATTGAGGTCAATAGTCTAGAAAAGAACAAGATTGATCTACTTTAGGTTTATTGGTGGTCTTCTGTTCGATAGACGATGTGCTACGTGTATAGTCCCTTACCTCGCAACCAATGCGTAATCAGGTCCGAGAATTAGGGTTGGAAGTCGCTCAAGTTCAATGACTTCCGTTATAATATAATATTTTATACAGATAGATGTTTAGGAAATAATATGTAAAATCCTTATTAAAAGGAAAAATAATATCTAACAGCATATAACAATAAATATAAGCTTACACACAACAAAAACTAGAATAATAAGTGGTTTATCATGAATATTACAATCAAAAGTCTCAAAGTTCTAATGACTTTGATCATCAATATATATTCTGATAATTCGGGGTTTTATTCACGGGTAAACATCACTTTACCGGTCGTTTCTTGGTCATCAGATGTTCTGAATGATAAGAGTTTGTCGTGAGTGATGTAAACGATACTACATTATATCTTTGGGTCGCATTTTTGTAAAATTCAATGACCCTTATACAGTCTTTATAGAAGACCTTATTTCACAATAACAAGCTATTAAGACCTTCGGCTTGTAGCTTGAGCCCAAGACTTTCTTGCTTCACTGAAGTGTGTAAATGCTTTGTTTGGATAGTACGATAGCAAATACAGCCTAGACCAAAAGTCTGTAAATTCTTAGTCATAATGTTTATAGTAGTAGTCTGATGAACAATCCGATCAAATCGCAGCTTTCCGTGATACAAGAACGACTAGTATTCGAGTCAAGTCCAGGATCGTAATAGCTTGACATTGTGAAGATAAGAAGACTATCAGTGGACACATAAGAGTCAAATGTTTCAGACTACAGTGATAAATGACAGGACAGGCCCTTGATTTCTATGAAAGTACATGTAATTATTCAATATAAGGGACTGTTTAAAATTGAGACACTTTCTTCTACCAAACTTTACACTTCTTCTCTGGGTTCATATAACTTGATACAGGACAACCAAATGTCTTGGCGAAATCTGGTGAATTTTGAAGAGTTCCAATTACCCTGTAAGCAGTAATATTAATGTTGGTTGTTTCTACATAAAGGTAGAGGAAGCGAAATCAAGTTTAAAATAAACCGAAAACGGCCAATCAAAGCCCACGATTTGATGCGTATTTTCTTTTGCATTTTTCTGTCGAGGGCTCAGAATTGCTGTATTCGCTAGCAGTCACGTTTCTATGAAACATTAGGTAAGGGGGTCGAGCAGGGGCACAGGCAATTTCTTTCATTGTGCAAAAGATATACAACTGATCGCTAGCGCACAATCCAATCAAATTGTAGCATTCACATACTCTGGCAAAAGAAGAGGGCCATTGCAGGTATAAAATGAAGACGTAATTCCTTGACCATTGTGAAGCTGACTAAAGACATGAAGAAACTTTATATTGATTGTGTGGTCTTTAGTGTTCAATATTTACAATCAGAGTTTATAACAAAGTTGATGTGTTACCTGAATTTGCCAGGACTATGAACACCTGTTAACACTCTGCTAATAGCACTTTGTTTCCTCATGCTGTTACACCATACCTACAACATAAAATACATAACGAATTGTATAGATTTTTGTGTTAAACGTTGGTTGGTTTTTATTGATCAAATTAGCCGGATAGACCAAAATTTTGTTCGTTTCAGCTGACCGGGATAATAATATGGTTCCTGGTTTTCTGGTGCTTGGTGCTTATTCATAAAACCGATATCTAAGAAGAGTACCTGTGCAAAATTTATAAAGAAAAGTTGATTCGGTGAGAAATCTAAACCAGGTAATTTTGGTTCTTCATTTCTTTCTTGAGATACCCAGTGCCTGTATGCCTGAAACATACATATATGCGAAATCAATTACGGCATCAATCTACGGATTTTCAAATAAGTACCCAAATCACGCTTTCAGTAATAGCTGTTATAATGTCGTCGATTCTATCCGTTGTGCGTTGATAATTTACAATATGACCTTTGTCTTGATGATTTACTATATGACCTTTGTCTTGATAATTTACTATATGGCCTTTGTCTTGATAATTTACTATATGACCTTTGTCTTGATGATTTACTATATGACCTTTGTCTTGATAATTTACTATATGGCCTTTGTCTTGATGATTTACGATATGACCTTTGTCTTGATGATTTACGATATGACCTTTGTCTTGATGATTTACGATACTACATCAAGGCAAATGAAGCAAATGCCTTATGCCGAATTTGACAAAACAAAACGAAAAATTAATTAAAGAGATTTTTTATTAAAATATGAATATGATATTTGCTGAAAATATCACATATTTGATGTCTACGGTTAAGGCAGTTACCGTTTAAAGTCTATCGAATGCAGGATGTTTGCGCAAAGAAATTCATGATTAACAGCTGGATTTAATCATTAATATTACTGCGCAAATGACACTCACCTTGAAACTCTGTGTTATAGCCCCATTATCAGCTATATTTTCACCTTGTGTATTTATACCATTGATCTGAAAGGTGAAAGGATGGTAGCATTAACAACTTAAAATGGATTTTTACGTCCTGGTTTACTGAACCTGTTTGTGCTAATAAATATGGGCAAACTCCGTGCAGTGTGCAATAGGAGAATTTTACCAGCACAGTTTAATCTGTTTCGATTTCCACCTGTCTGGGCACACGAAGGGATTATCCAGAACCTTGGACCTCTGACTTTTATATTAGCAAACAAACGCCTTACGCACGATGAATTTGGAAATATATATCATGGTATTGAAATTTAGTCAGTGTATTTCATTAATACGTATCTCGTAAAGATTCAGGCAACAGTTTATCAGTTTACCACCCCATATTTATGGGCAATATGTCTATGACTTGCAACAACTACCTGTATATGATTGGGTGTTCATGGATACATGCGATCATTTTTAAATATCGCTCGATTCAAATTGTAAAAATTCAATAATTAACCTGTAAATCAGCTTCTTTAACAGTAAAATTACCGTACTGTTCTATCACACACTGAGCTCTAGTTTTAAATACTTCTACAACATCATCAGACCACCATTGTCTTAACGAACCAGTTTTATCATATTGTCTACCTACAGCAGAAACTAGATCATAATGCTCTGCTTAATAATATTTGGACTATCATCACGACTTCCATAAAAGCTAACGAACATCACAACCAGTCGTTGAAAAACTTTAAATACGGCGTTGAGATTTAATTCTTTGACATAGTGTGGAAATCAGAATACCTAACATTTTTTCAGCCTTACCTTGATCATCAAAACCATGAGTTATTTCATGTCCTATAACCATACCAATTCCTCCATAATTTAAAGCTCTGTAAAATAATAATAAATTAGATAGGAATGATATGGATGCAGTAGATGATCATGATGAGATGATTTTGATGATCGCGATTTAGATGATGTTGATGCTGGTAATCATGATGAAACCAACAAAAGACTACGCGATTTAACATTATGATTACGAGAATGTGATTTTATTTCAGATGTCCACGACGACAACGATGATGATGATCATTATGATGATATGTTGATGATCATTATGATAATATGTTGATGATTATCATTATGCTGATATGTTGATGATTATGATGATATGTTGATGGTTATTATGATGATATGTTGATGATTATCATTATGATTATATGTTGATGGTCATTATGATGATATGTTGATGGTCATTATGATGATATGTTGATGATCATTATGATGATATGTTGATGATTATGATGATATGTTGATGATTATTATGATGATATGTTGATGATCATTATGGTGATATGTTGATGATTATCATTATGATGATATGTTGATGGTCATTATGATGATATGTTGATGATTATGATGATATGTTGATGATTATTATGATGATGTGTTGATGATCATTATGGTGATATGTTGATGATGATCATTATGATGATATGTTGATGATCATTATGATGATATGTTGATGATTATCATTATGATGATATGTTGATGATCATTATGATGATATGTTGATGAACATTATGATAATATGTTGATGATTATCATTATGATGATATTTTGATGATCATTACGATGATATGTTGATGATGATCATTACGATGATATGTTGATGATCATTATGATGATATGTTGATGATCATTATGGGGATATGTTGATGATTATCATTATGATGATATATTGATGACCATCATGATGATATGTTGATGACCATTATGATGATATGTTGATGATCATTATGATGATATGTTGACGATCATGATGAATTTGGAGATGATGATTTATGAATACTTACTTCAGGTAATTTTTGTGATAGAATGGTGGCTGTAGAATCCCCGCTGGGAAGACTGTAAAATACAACAGTTATCGTTCAAGTACAATAAACGACCATAATCATTTACCAATATCAGCCTATTTAGGCTTCGATTCTGAAGTTAATCTAAAGTGGTTATGTTGATCATACAAATAGAAGGACAACAAAATGGTCAAAAGAAAAATAAAGACCACTCTTCCACCAATTTCAAGATTAGAAATATGACAGAAAACTTTACCCCTGCCCAATTTCGGATCCTACAGTCAAGCAAATATTTGTGTGATTTTAAACACATATGTTTGTCTATGTTTACCGATTGAAATACAAAACATTTCACAGTTCAGAGTAGAGAGAATATTACTATGACATCGTAATATTTGACATGACCCAACCACTCAGGTGAAAATTTCCCGCAAGTCTTTTCTTTCGATTGAAGTATATATTTACCTATTTCGTTTCTTGTTGAGGAATAATAAGCATTTACCGCCGAAGGCACCATGCTCCACCTATAGATGCCAGAAGAAAAGGCTAATTTCATTGATTGATTTAATTTAGACTTTCTGAGTGCAGATCACACCTATATCGTAATCCGAGTCTGACAGTCAAAGTCCTAGACTAGACTTTTTCCATAATGTTTTACTTAAGAAAAACCGAGCCGATTCTATAACAATATGAGTGCCTCAATTTACAAAAATGTTCTGGATTAAGGAGGTTTCCGCCTGAAACTTAGAAACCATATCGATGACGCCATACGATTTATGTCGCTCTGGAAAATGTTATTTTCTTAAAACGATTTAAAGCGTGATTCCTTGAAAAGTATGCACTTACTTTGTTTTATCAATTGGTTTCCGGAGTTCTCTGAGATCCTCAGCTACTGACTCTTGTATGAAATTAATAATATTCGAAAAATATTCATCTTCAGTGATGGTATACTGAAAAATGTATATACAAATCCACATAAATCAAGATTCCACAATTTCTGATATTTGATTTCAGCTAAGCCACATGAATGCCACTTGAAGTCTTTTCTATTTACTTTCTTGTAAAGATTTCATTATTCTATGAAAGAGGTTCCTCCTAAAAATCAATTTCGATACTGAAAATAATGTTTTTATTACTCTACTTACGTTTTCATATATCCCGATAAGATAAGTATTATTTAGTATCTTTTCATTATAACCAATTTTCTTGTTCATTGCTTCCGACTGAAATGTATTTCGAGTAACTTAATTTAAAATTACAGATAGAGGTTTTGCAAGAGCCTCACAAACTTTTTAGATTCTCCCTTTTCCCCTGAAAATATCAAAGCTATGAACGATTTTTAGTGCAAATCGACTGTTCAAGACTCAAGGTACATACTATTAATTTTTTAGATGATATCATATTGATACATCGACAACCGACAGATTGACGTAGAACAAAATTCAAGGTGCCTATAGTTTTCGAATAGCAATAGGAATATGAGGAATTCTCCAACACGGCCAAGCTCAATCAAAATGTTAAATTATTTTCTTGATATTTCATGCTTCAAATTTGCTTTTGCCTTATTGTAATTAATATCTCTAAACTTTACAATAGTTGGGGTCAAGAAGAATCAAGCGCTATATGAAATATTGTTACCTTTTCCTTGGCAGCTTTTCTTGTTGACTCATCCATCCAATCGTTTGAAAACAGTTGTCCTTCAAACGCTACCTTCAAATTTCCAATTAATTTCAACATCTACAAAGAGTTACAGTGTTAGGTAGATTTTAATCGAAATATATCAAAGAGATACACAGAGACAATATTCTTGAAATGTTGAATTGAACCTCACTAATTCAATTTACTTTATTACTTTAGTAATTATTTCAGAACACCTGCTCTGTAAGCGTTAACACTTTGAATACTTACATCAGCTTTGGCTGCTTCATCAAAAGCTTCTCCAACAAAGATTTTTCCAACAACTTTGCCTAAAATACTATTGGCTTTTCCAACACATTTCTTCCACCTGGCAGATTCTGTTGAAGTTCCATACAATACCTATTAAAGCAGAACGAAGCTAAAGACACTGTTATGAAAGGTTACAATTCTAGAAGGTGCTAGAAGTACTCTTTAAAGATTCCAAAGGAAAACGATATTTTCTGTGAAATAAACATTAGAGCTGTTTAAAAAAAAGGGGAAGTCGAATTGGAACATTTGATTCACATTTCGTATATTTATATATACATGTTCAGTAAATCAAAATTTGAATTTGATGTTTTTGTTGACAAAATTTAAAGCATACCTTAGAATATTCCAAATTAAGATCACGGAATGCTTTGCCAAGTGAACTAATTCTATGTCTTACTATTCTCCAAGTACAATAGTTAGCGAGGGTTCTGAAATGATAAATAATTCAATGCACAAATCCTTATCATTAACCAAAATCAAGTCCGATTGTCTGTAATCAAAACTTTTCCTTCAACAGTCAATGTACATGTATGTATGCCCATATATGCATTGAAACAGAAGAGATTGCAAAATTTCAAGATTAGCATTAGCGGAAATCTCAGTCGGTATCTAGTAGGATTGTCATCTGCTAGACAATTAGCCGTCGTAGGTTAGAATCCGTCTCAAGAAATAAATGCAGTGTCGGCTCTCACCTCCTATCACAAATAACAAAGTAATTCATATACTTGAATACTCTTGCTTTAGGGTGATGTATCCAAACATACAAGATTGATCACAACAGCCTGTCGTTATCATTAATAAGAAATCCAACAATAAAAGGTTGGTATTGGATTTTGTACATGGTCAGTGCATCAAAATATACAATAATATCTTACAGTCACTTGGATGTACAGAAATCAGTAAAATGTACATGTACAAACGTTTTTACCAAATTTGATTTACAAACCGGTTATTGGCATTTCATTTATCCAATACGCCGTTTTTTTTTTGTCCGTAAGTCTTGAATATTATTCATATTCGCTTGATGAATCTTATTATTGCTTTTCTGCACTTAATGTCATTGACTTAAGTAATGTGCTGAACTGCAGCACATAAATTTCCACCCGGTCGAAGTATTCATCTTCAGGGTAATTTTGTAAAATTAAATAGCTTTAAAATTATTCATCTGTCGGAATGTAGAAAACAAATTTCCATTGTATCCATTGCCAATAATGCATATTGTCCTAACAATGTGAATATCTTACCTTTTTGGAGTATTATTAAGCAATGAAAACAGTTTGTCAAAATATGGCGGTGAATAATTAATGATCTCTTCGTCTTCTGTGATATCTATTTGTATTTTAGGTGATGACATTATAGAATTGATATATCCTAACCAATCAAACTGAAAAGCGAGGAACAATTTAAGATCCATGGCCCTAGTGTAATAACTAGTCTTCGGCCAAACGTTATAAGATATTGAGATTTACGTTAGTGCCGAAAATTGATCTCAGTCTGCGTCATTGATAGCCGGCCATGGTGTCTTGTGAAAATAAAGCCCTAACCACAATATGATTAGAAGCAGATTATATGTGTTTTCATCTATAAGCTATCCCACAAGTAACTATATACAATTACCTCTGAATAATTTTGAGCAAGTTGAGCTATGGTCATTTTATTATATAATTTTTCACTATCTCTCCTTTCCTCTGATGGTACACTTATCTGTAAATGAATAATATGCGTTATTAATGCTAAAGAAAATGTAAGAGTAATGAATAATTACTTGTTTACTTAAAAACAAACTGATTTACCAAACAATAACGAGTAACCTCTAATGTTATACTAAATAACAACGAATAATTACTACTTTACTCAACAAAAACAACGATTATTATATTTCGGGGAAGGGAGGGTTTGATTCAAATATACCTCAATCTAAGAATTTCAATCTCTATTTCTAAATATGTCTTTTCTAAATTTGGCAAAGTCTCAAGAAAAGACAAGTCGTCATGTTAACTTTCAAACGCGGATAATTTTGGTCACAAATATATAGTATAATTTCTAATTTGAGGTATATTTGAAGCGTCTGTTTACATAATATTAAATACCCTAATCGACACGAACCAACAAAAATCAATAAAAAATAGTTTTATCAATTATATTTACGTTGGCTATCAGTATTTCAAAATCCACCATGTCTTTCATATCTTGTTCAGCTACCGTTTTATCTGCACCTAACATAGTTGCAACTTGCACAGCCAGATTTTCATACGCCATGATCATTGTATCATTTCTTTCTTTAAAGTAATATTTCTGTCCAGGCATGCCCAGCGACGGCTGATCTAACTGTAAGATAAGAGAGAGCTAATCAAAAGAAATGATAGCTCAGGAATTTTTTTTGGCACTCCGAAATAGGCTTACCCGGCTTTACTGGTACATCTGGATCTCTCCCAAGAATTTAACATGAATTTTTTAAACCTCTCATCTCTCTAACTCAATGATCGCCGACTGAATTGACCACGTTTGTAGATACGAGTTGCACCCTTTTGCAAGAAAAACGTCTCTTCCCGAGAATGTTTTGGATTTATAAACAATTGAGATTACATTGGTTAACTCCAGTCTGGCACTATCTGGTGGAAGTTGTATTGGAGCGATGCGCTCATAAGAGTATTCCTAAATCCAATCAGAATCAAAATTGCATAATCCGCACGCGATAATCGACAACGCGGAAAACGGTCGATTGGAGATTTTTGTCTCCTCGTGGTCTGCAACCGGTCTGTGAAACATTTGACTAAACTCTATTCGGCGAAAAAAACTCGGCTACCTAGACTCTTCGTGTACCCGCGCCATTAGATTGGGTATAATGGCTTCTAGCTTCCGTTGTCTTCCTATAGGTAATTAAGACATTACAACCAATTTCTTTTGTTTAATAATCTTACACATAGTAAGTGTGGCTCCCTGGTTGATGTACGAGTTGCGCCCCTTATCTCATTATTATCGATTGTTTTCCCAAACAAACAAAAAACGACAAATGATTCCTTTTCGGTTTCTAAGTCAGATAAAACACTTTCCCTCTGGTTTTTATGATATCTAAAATCCTTTCCCTCGGAAAATCCCTCGGGGTCCTCTTGTTTTTGCTTTAATTTTCTTCTCTTACCCTTTTAACAGGGCCCCATATTTCAATAATATGGCACGTACCCGGTGACCAAAATGTAAGATAAAGATATTTCCCTTAACAGAACGTACAGTTGAAATATTTCACAACAATGTATACTTACATATAAAATATTTTTATCAACATTCTTCATGTCGGTATAAACTGACAATGATATCAGAGGCCAGTTATTGTATTTTGCTAAGGTCACTAACAAATCTTTCAGGTCAAACCCAGCATCTGACCAACTGGACATCAGAACTGGCCATCCACCAATTTTTGGTATGAAATCATCTAAGGGTTTGGTACCAAGTGACTCTATCTTTTCTATAAGGGAAAAAGATTACGTAAATAGAAATAATGAACTAGTGCAACAAACACCCAGTGTAATATTTTGTTGTTAAATGTTCAAAGCATTGATTTAAACATTTTGTCTTGTCAAATTTAATTTATATATACATATAAAATAGCATTTGACCGAATCTTGCTCAAATTATTTGCTAAATTGAAGCTATTTTAGAATAAGTTCCGACGTGATATCCATGTGTATTTCTTATTAATTACACACGAACCAGATTTTCGGATATGTATTCCATAAAGTGCTACAAAAAGCTAAGTTTAGAACTATTTAGAAGATTATGTGCCTCGCGTATCTGTACCTGTATCCAAACAAGATCTGTATAATCTTTTGGCTTTCTTGGCAGGCTCAATATCTGCTTCTGTTTCTTTGTCTTCTAATGCATCTAAATAAAAAGCCATATTATCATTAAAACACAAGCTTGAAAAATCAAATCAGCCTTCATTCGGCCTTTATTCAATTATGAATACACCGTGAAAAGTGAATATCTTAGATATTAACAGTCGTGCGAGGCAAGTAGTAGCTGCCAGAAATTGTGGTGAAAGTACAGAAATAGTTTTACAGTGTTCGATATTTCATGATTGTGACTCGTTTCAACTACATGTATCTTACTTTGAATTCATTTGTAGTTAGTTAAGCTTAAGCCAGTTGATCTAATACATGTACTTACTTTTCAGAATAACATTAACATCGTCAGCTACTAAATCAAAGCTGCTGTATGCGGACTTATCTTCAGGTATAACATTCTTCTTCTTCCACGTTCCACAAGCAAATTCATAGAAATTATCACAAGGTTTAACTTTATAGTCTATAGCGTCATGTATTCTACTAGCTGGAAATAACAATGTCGATAGAGCTATTAACCAAAATTTACAATGTGTCCAAGTCGCCGGCGAATACATCACCACATTCGTTGGCAAGGGGGAGAAATCGACCATGTAATGCCAACAGTAATTATCTCGATGGTGGTAGATTCCCTTAGCCACCGATATTTAAAGTATATGAGCAATGTGCAATTAAAAGTAACTGTTGGCAACTGCATTTTTTTCAGTCACATCTGATTAAATTCGAGTTGTTGAAATCTGGCATTAACAAGATCTTCCATAGTCCACTTATCATTCCTCGTTATCAAATGTAGAGATGTTTCTTTGGACATGCAAACACCCCTTAGGCCTTTGGTAGTGATGTCTTATATTCGTAGTTTCTGCAGTAAATGTAATTGGCCTGGCAATTTTACTATCAGCAGCGCGTTTGTTTTTGGATAAGGATCGACTGGTATACCAAGGTGGCGAAAGGAAGGAGTATCCTACTTACCAACTCGAACACAGTCTGTGGTAGTACACATCTTTTGACCACTTTGTTGCATCCCGGGTGATACTTCAGCTGCAAGAAAATAAATCAATATTATCTTTTATTGAAATACTACGTGAGAAATTTTGATAACCGTGTCCCGAAATAACGTTATTCCAATTATAAAGGGAGTTGGGTTGGGTCTCCCCCTGGAAACTGTTGTAATCTAGGAAGGCGGAGAATGCATCTAACGCGATTTTGGTAATGAAAGTTGAATAAATTTTTCATTTTTTCTGTCCCAAGGGGGAGGGGGTTCTATGGCTAAACCGAGTAGGCTACAAATGATCGTTGGCAATTATACGTATACGGATGCTGGAAACTATACTGGTGTTAACAGAATAAGTGCCCCACTATGGCTCAAAGACCCTTTTACAGAACCTTCAACAAAATATCTTACCCATTGGTGGTTTTTCCTTTGTTTGTATTATTAAAGCTACCATTAAACCAATAGCAACAATGAGTATCAATATTAAAAACAACATTAAACATTTCTCTAATTTACTTCTTCTGTTACACCAACCACCTTCTTCAAATCTGTAAACATTATATGACAGATTTATACTTTCTGTATCAATAACCAAAACTTGTTAAGAATCAATCAATTGGAACCTGTTTACTACTTGATTAGCATTGGTCTTTTCCGGAATATTCTTGTGCCCATTTGTACTATTTGGTCCTCTGTTACAATGAGTTTACTAGATGGTCCTTTGTCTTTTATTGAATACATTTAGAACTGTGCTACTTGTCTTGAATTTGATTCAAATGAATGTATTCCTCATGATATACTGAAAAACCAGATCGTGATTTGAGAATTGTCATTGACTGCCAATAAAACGTTATTGAAATATACTTGTCAGTGGCATAAAAAGTACTTTCGTCTTACTTGATTTCCTCTGTGGATACCAGCACTGTTTTGCTTCCAGTAAAAGCTGTTCCATTTTTGGTCGGTTCGTGCATGGTGTTGTTGGAAATTTACTGGAAAAATGATAAATTAAATATCTTAAATCTGGTGCGTTTGTTAAAAACATCTAGAAATAATTTTCTGAGATGCAAACGTTTAAACCTGTACCTTATGGTACCTTCACGTTTTATATAAGATAGCTTGCCAGGCAAGGTAATATACGCCCACTGGCAGCTTTGATTTTAAATAAAAAAATATTTGGCAAGGCGTTTACGAGCTAAAATTTGAACGCGTTTTCAAGAACAAGGGCAATAACTCATTCTATATTTTTCGATTCTTCTAATATTCGATAGGATTCATCCTTGGTTGATGACAAACACTGACAAAAAGTTTCGTCAATATCCGTCAGGATTGTGCCTTCTAGAGTGTTTACATGCTACAAATTGAACGCATTTTCAAGAACAAGGGCAATAACTCATACTAATTATTTTCGATTTTTCTGATTTTAAATAAGGTTCATCCTCGGGTGATTACTAACACTCGCACCACGTTTAATCTTAATCCGTCAAGAATTGTGCATTTCATGTGGGCGTATAAAAAATTATGAAATGCACTAGTCGCGGCCAAACATGAGGAAAACTAGAGATAAATTCCTTACAAAAATACAAACTTAAAAACAGTAGCCCTCTAACTGCGAGTTATTAGTTATGCTAACGTTTTGCAGCTTTTTTAGATGTAACGGTTGTCTAACGATCTTCTCGATCCTATGCCGCTTTCTGCGCGATACAGAACAGATCGCCAAACATTGGAGTGCAAAATCAGAATATCAAATTGTAAAAAAGCAAAACACAAGAAATGGGATGAAAACCACATTTTAAAAGAGATAGTAAGCAATTTCAGCTCACTGCACTTCATCTGCTTAGCTAGCATCTTATACAAATATCATTCAAGCACAAGATAATCTGCACACAGGTATAAATCAAAAACCAGCTGTCAATTACATAAATATCTTCAAGATAACCAAATAAATCTTCAAATACCCAAAAGTCACTTACCGCGGTAATCAAATTAGATATGTGTGTTTGTGAACGTGGTTGTCCCTAACACTGAATCTTTTCGATCGTGCTTGGATTATAATTGAAACCTATTTCAATATCGGGGTCAGTTATAATGTACACACTTATATCTTCCACTTAAAATTTAAGACTTGTGGATTGGGCCAAACAAAATGTAGTCTGTAATGTCTTGTCTCACGTAGAATGTCTTCATGTTTCAGATGAAACGCCACTTCCGGTTCAATATATTTGGATTATCATGCAATTTACGATTTTTATCAAATTACATCTTCGGACTATTTTGTAGACGAAGTAATATTGAAGCTCTCTATTTCTTGCCACTTACACTTCTTACGGTTCAATTTATTTGGATTGTAAAGCTTTACAGGAGTTCAGTTTTATCTCATTCTGACATTTTGGGACAATGTACTGGGCGAAGTTACGTAGAAGCTCTCTTTTTCTTGCCAATTATAGCACATTGCTTATACAGAGTTCTGACTTGAATTAAATAGGTTTGGCAGAACTTCTTCATTTCTACCATCAGCATCATTCTTTAAAACGTGGAAAGCTGCCTTTAAACTCCATTGAAGAGATCCACAATTTTGGTGCATATAGGTTTGTAATTTAATCTGTACAATTGGCCTCTTTCTACCAATTGAAAAGAGAAATACAACACATAGTAAACATAACCAAGTCTAACATTTTTCAAGTGCGGAGAGACATACATACTCTCTGTAAACGCATGCAAATGCAACACATAGTAAACATAACCAAGTAGGCCCTACGTATTATTCAATATATGTAATATGTCTGAGTTAACTAAAATAAACACGATAGTAACATTCCGGGGAGCTAAAGTAGTCGATCTGATTTCAACAGTGGCGGAGTCAGTCTCCACGGACTAGCGGAACAAAACATAGGGGGGCAGACTGACTCAATGGGGGAACAACTGTCGAGGCTGAATTAGAAATGTGCAAATCTATGGAGGCGTCTCAAACCTCTCACGGGGTGCCTAATATTGAAAAATTGAATTGCTTTGGTGCATTCTGACGAGTAGGGGTACAATTGGGAATTCAAGCCATTTTTCTAGGGAGGCAAATGCCACCCTTGTACCCCCATTTCAATACCGCTGGTTCTAGATTTGGCTACGTTTTACACAGCGTTTTGAGAATTTTGGTGTAAACCTTTGGGTTCAAAATTTTACACCTATTTGTTGTCCCTCAAAGCCAATGTGTAAACCTGTGCCTTGGATCAATAATAAGACACAGTGTCATACGCAATTTGTCTACATGAAAATTTACATTTTCACACAGTAACAGTTCGTTTATCACAAAGGTATTAATAAGGCATAACACTTTCGTGCGTATTCTTCTTTGTTCAAGGTATTAGAGGTGCTGTTAATATCACACCATAGCAAGCTTCTAAATACATCCTTGACACTTTGGTAACCCACCGCAACAAAAAGCCACAAAAGGAATGGATTCGTACTCCTTAATGAGATCAATATCCCATTAAACTAATTTAATGTTGGAGGGTCAAAGAATGTCAATTATCTTAAGACTAAGCAGAAAATACCACTTTTGCAGTGTAAAATATTTACAAAAAGTTTCAAACCGCCATTTTGGATCATAATCTTACATTATTGTCTAGTTTATAGATGGATACAATAATATCGGAACGGTCGCCTACTCGGTTATAAAAATGACGGTTTTCTCTCATACCGGTATTTTGGATCGTGTATATCGTCAAATTGTCAAAATATAGTTGTACGTTTTATCGTGTTTGCCAATCAGCATAAAACTGAGTCTTCACAAAAGAATATCTCAGAATTAACAAGACAAGTTAAGGTCTCATAGAACAGGGTAGAATAGAAATGGCCCCGCCCTTTAACGCTCATTTTTCAAGTGCGGAGATACATATCATACCAGGTAAGTTTAAAATAATTACGCCAACTCAATGTCTATTTAAGTGCTCTCCTGTAAACGTCACGTGCAATATTTACACCAAAACACACTTAAATACTTTCATTTATAGTGGGGGAAAATGCACTTTATGGATTTTCTGATATGTTTAAGTATATATCATGTATTTTGAAGGATGCAAAAAAGAATTTCCCTATAAATTTGGATAAAGAAGTGCAAATTTAGATAATATTTACTTTTCTTTAAAATATAAGAAGGAAAACCACAAATATACGTAAAAAAAAGTCTTAAGGAGGTCAACAGGTTTGTTCATTCTTGTTAACGTTTGCAGTGTTTATGACTTGACTTTTACGACAACAACAAATTATAACGAATAGTTAGGTTTAACTAATAAATTGAAACTTAACGTTATTCCTTGATGGATCGAAAAAGCATTATAAGCAGACCGAAGTGGTCTTTTGCCCGAAATGATAAGTGGGTGGGTATAGTGTGGCATTTGGTTTTCGGTTGTAAGTTTCATAACTAATATTAAGATTCTTTTACAGAATCCACTTGAGCAGATAGTTGTCTTTAATTTGACACATTTGTATCCGAGGTCCGAAACAATCTGTCACTATTTTTTTGTTGTTATTGATGAAAAGATCGCGAGAAAGAACGTATATCACATTAGAGGAATGGATATTACCAGATATTTCGGACTACCAAATCTCTTATCTTGAATTGTTTCAGGTGACAGTACTCAGTTGAATGGTAGCCGCTATAAAAAGTAAATTCTGTGTCATCTTTGTAGTTATCATATACCAAAACATGCTTTGCTCAAAACATTCTCGCTCACCTGAACCCTGTTACAACAAAAAGTTGATAGCTGCCAAAGCAGCTTCAAATGCTGAATAGGTTTCGAGAAATTTCTTATAAGTTTCTTGATGTATAGCATGGCTGTGTACATAATCAGAAATGGGTTTTAACTCAAACAGTTATGACGTGAAGGTTTTTGAAATGTATTGTAAAATGTTTAAGTGTAGATGGAGCAGCAACCTTCACCTCTTCACCCGCTTAAGAAATGGGGTAAAGTAAGGAGATCTTCTGTGCCCCATCTTCAGTAGAGTCAATATTTATA